CCCCAGTGTCCCCATACCTGGTCAGCAGTGATCCCGTTGGCAATGGCAGCCTGGACACTGTCCCTTGTCACCCCAATGTCCCCAATGTCCCCAGTGATGTCCCCAGTGTCCCCAGTGTCCCCAACGATGTCCCCAATGTCCCCATACCTGGTCAGCAGTGATCCCGTTGGCGATGGCAGCCTGGACACTGTCCCTTGTCACCTGGGCCACCACGAGGTTGGGGAAGCGATAGAGCAGCTCCGAGAACAGCGCGATGAGGGCGACCTGCAGCTCTGAGTCTGGGGAGGGGACAGGGAGGGGACAGTGGGGACAATGAGAGACGTTGGGGACAGCAGGATGATGGGGACATTGGGGACACTGGGGACATTGGGATAAGGGGACATTGGGGACACTGGGGACACTGGGGACAATGGGAACACAGCGACATCAGGGACACCCAGATGACATTGGGGACCCCAGGGACAACAGGGGGACACGGGGACAATGGGGGACATAAAGGATGTCAAGGGGACACCAAGGGGACACTGGGGACACTGAGAGACACTGGGCACAACAAAAACTGTGGGGACACCGAGGGGACAGAGGGTGACAAGGAAGGACAGGGGGTGCCAGGGGTGTCAGGGGTGTCAGGGGGTGCCATGGGGACACAGTGGGGGGACAGGGGAGGGGACAGGGGTAGGGGACAGGGGAGGGGACAGGGGTAGGGGACAGGGGAGGGGACAGGGGAGGGGACAGCCCTGTCACCTGTGTAGGCGTAGATCCTGTAGTTGGTCTCCACCAGGACGAAGCCGTGGCCGTCGGGCTCGGGCACCGTCCCCGATGTCCCCGAGGCCAGAGCGATGGCCAAGCGGGTGGGGTAGAACCGGCGGGACTTCCGCTGCCAGGGGACAGTGGGGGACATTTAGGGACAGGGTCAGGGGGCCCCCAGTGCCCCCAGTGTCCCCAGTGTCCCCAGTGACCCCAGTGTCCCCAGTGCCCCCAGGGCCAGGGGTAGAACCGGCGGGACTTCCGCTGCCAGGGGACAGTGGGGGACAGTTTGGGACAGTTGGGGACAGGGTCAGGGGGTCCCCAGTGTCCCCAGTGACCCCAGCGTCCCCCCAACGTCCCCGAGGTCACAGCCCAGGCAGGGGGGGAGCAACGGGACTTCCACTGGGAGCGAACGTTTGAGGGATTTTGGGGACGTTTGAGGACGTTTTAGGACAGTTGGGGACATTTAGGGACAGAACCAAGGTGTCCCCGATGTCCCCCCATGTCCTCAGCATATCCCCAGCATCCCCCAGTCCCTCCCAGTGCCTCCCAGTCCCTCC